TATGTATAAAAAAGAAAATCATAAATCGTTTTTACTTTTGTACAGATATATCTCCTCTAGAATTATTGCTAAAAATACTAATTATTAATTATATACACGTATTGTTAACCCTTCAGCGATGAATAATATACGTATATAGAATTCTTCATTCATATATTATACTACAATTAAATTTATAATAATTTTGTACGTAATTTGTCAATAATATGTATAGTCATATATATTAATAATAGTTATAATTTAAAATACAAAAGGAAAATTTTCTAATGATATTGATGACTTCGCATTTTATTTAATTGTTCAGTCTTAAAAATTTAAATATTGTTGCAAATAGTTTTTATATTATTCAACTCTTCAAATTTTTTCATTCAATGATGATTACTTTATTGTATCATTGAAGGGTTAATGTATTTTATAGAGGAGATTGGCTTACGTGTGTCTATTATCTTCCATTTTGAATACATTGAACAATTAAAATAAATATATTCAATAAATCATATCAATGTGAAGTTGATACTACTCTCCAAAATGCTAATGTGCTATCGAACAATATGTATATACAACAATATGTATATAGACTGCCACCACATTCGTATCAGTTTTGATTCCTTCTAAAAAATTATAATCAACAAAAAATTTTGTTTCCTTCGAAGCTTTTGTTTGATAATTTGTAACGATCTCAATCCTTGATAAAGACAAAATAAAGATTTATAATCCAGGGACAATAATTGAGTTACGTTTACGTGATCCAACGATCTCACGTACCGATGTCGTGAGGTTAAAAAATACTAAATACGAATGGCAATGTATTCTAGTTGTACCCTTAATCATTAACACTCGCGACATCATCATCACATTTACTCTTGGAATTTCCCTAATTTTTGTGTACGAATGATTGAACTCTTTTTTAAACAGGAGAAATGTATGATTTTTTTGTAAGTATAAACGATATCTTTTGAAGTTTAGTTTTAATTAATTTACGGCTATACTTCAAAACCATCGTTTAAACTTCATTGTCGTTACATGACGTTATTAAATCATGCACTTCCTCCTGAGGATCATCCTCATATCAGCTATCCGGAACCTAAAGACAAACAAATTAATTCAAAACATTAATTTAAAATAATTATACGCAAACTATTTTTTAGTATTTAAAATAATTTTTTTTTTTTACTTACTTTCCATTGTAATTGATTGCCAACTTTATAAAGCTCTTTTAACGATTCAGAGAGTTTTCCAGAACTCTCCAATTCTTTGTACTTGCGATATAATTCAAGAGCAGCTCTAGCATCTTCAGTAGAATCATGTGTTTCTGATTGAATTTTTTTCCCCAAAAAATGCCATGTAAGAAAACGCAATGACACCATACGATGATGAGGTAAATGAAATAACAATACTGTATCTACAATTTGCTCGGATGGTACGACTAAATTTATTACCCTATAAATATCAAAGAACGTAAATGAAATGTATATGTATTAATATTAAAAATTAAATAATTACCTAAAATCATTCTTCAAGCCATGTCCAACAAACATAATTCCATTATCAACGAGAAATCGTAATTTTTGGTATGTTGACTTCAGAGTAGTTAAATGTTTGCTACTGAAGTTCGCATCCAAGTCACCAGGCTGAATTCCACTGAATTTTGTCAGATAATCTACTACCTGTTCCTGAGTACTTATATAGTCATCTATGAAGGGAGTTCCCTCTAATGGACCTTGACTACCAAACAAATTAAAGATATTAATTATGAAACAAATAATGATCAAAGAAATTAAAAATTTTACATACCCACGTATACAAGTTATACGTGCAACAGACATATGACTTGGTTTAATAGTAGACATTTTTCCATCGCTTCGAAGCTCAGCTTCCTCCTGATTTAAAGTTACAAATTCTGCATCAATTCCAACTAATTCTCCTATAAAAATAATTTTATTTATTCTTAAAATTCTTTTAAGTTTTTGAATAATTTTTTTTTATTTTTAATTAAAAACCTTTTTTAGGCATTTCGTCGGAACTCAATGGAGTGAATGTAATACCCCTTGTTCCTCCACTGCGAGCAATGCACTTATCTTCACCAAATACATCATAGGTAAGAGGACTGACAAACGGTACTGGTTCGGGAGCTGGCACAGCCGTATAATGAAGAACACATGGAACTTTCCAATCAAGATTAAACCAAACCGCTTCTTGCGGTGTCACTGCAGATATACTAAAAACAGAAAATTTCCAAAAGCAGATTTAAAACAAATAGAAAATAAAATTTAAATGTATTGGATAAATTTTAAAATCTTTTCATATATAATTCACAATAATAAAATTATAATTATTTATATAATTCTTTGTTAATTATCTTATTTTTTAACATATAAAAAAAATAAATTATGGCATTTACATACCAAAAATCATTAAAAATGTACCATTGCGATACTGCACTGCCTACTGATCGTTCATGATAATTTGGTCCAACTCGCAATAATGCAACAATGTTTCTTCTATCTTCGTTACTCTTGTCATCGATGTAACAAACAACAGCATTAAGACTGTATTGAATTTTGCTTATTTTATTTAGATTATCATCGATTTTATTCTCTTTCTCCATATCATCATCATCTAATTCCGCAATAACATGATTTTCAGTCATTTTGTCTTCGGAATTATTTCCAGAAATCTCAGAATCTTGTATCTTACTATCACCTTGTCCATTTTCTACTATGACATCATCAGTCGATTTACTACTTTCGTTAGAATCATTTTTCGAACTGCTGATCTTTTCCACGAATAATTCACCATTACTATCCAAAGAAATTTCTATATTATGTGGAATCCATGAATGAGAATAGTACAAATGACTAGGCGGTGTTGCGGCTGTTGAGACCGGTGTTGAAGTTGTTGTAGGTGGTGTAACTGGTGGCGTTGTTATTGTTTCTATAATAATAAAAATATTATTTATTAAAATAAAAAAAAACTAATAAAAATATTAAAATATATAAAATAAATTATAATACCTGGATCTCTACCAATATGTCGGAACCTACAACCAATTCGAGTACAATTGTTACCATATCGACATGGTTTCACAGTAATAGGAATAGGACTTGAAGATGGACTACTTTCTTTTCCATTTAATACTTTTTGAACGACTATATCCATTTGCTGTTGCCAAAATGATTTGTCCTGGATTAATGATAAATTTGAAATGTTAAAAATTATTATTGATCTTCATATGTTCGTAATCTATAAAATACAATCATGAAAGAATTTAATCTGTTGAAGATATTTAAGAATAATTGAGCATCACAAATTTATTAATATTTATGAAAAATTTATATATATGTAAAATTTTGTAAAATGAATTTTAATTATAAAAATGAATAATTCAATAAATTAAATTTAATGCACATATAGTTTTATATTTGATATACCTGTTGTGTATCTAAACCACAGTTCAGAGCCAATATTTGAGGTAGTTTAGTTAATTGTCGAGATTGAAGGGTGGGTGTAAATTTTTGACAATTATCACACCATGCAGGTGTAATTTTCTCAGGTCTTAAACTGCGGGCAAGAACACTTGTAAACGGAATCTCCTCTGCTATAAAGTATAAAAATTCACTCGTTTCAATCGTATAACAATAAATAACATTTATATGAAATATATATGTAATTTACAAACTAGCTTACAAGGATGTGTTAATTCTGGATAAACTAAGTTGCATAGCAACATGATGGAATGTTTCGTAGCTTCTTGCCCACATTTGAGACAACAATGTATGTGCATTTGTTCAGATCCAAACAAACGACTGACTTCTGTCTCTTCGTCTCGTATCTCATTTTCTTCAATCGATTTTTTGTTGTTTTTATCTATTTATAATAAATATACGTGTAAGTTTATCGATTTATGTTGATAATTTTATAATTGCAATAAAATACTTTAATAATAAAAATTTATGAAAAATACAAAAATATATAAAAAATTCAATACTCTTTTTTGGGATTATTTCATATTTCGGGAGAATGTTATTTGTATCGGCAATGAGAGCATTATTATTTCCTATATCTTTTTAATATATGATATTAATTTAAAAGTTTAAGATAATAATGAATTTTACGAAATTTTTCTAAAAAAATTAAAATTATATTCAAGTTGAATATTCATTTGATAAGTTATAAGAATAAAGTATAAATTAAAAAAAGAAGAAAAAAAAATGATTTATTTTAAAAGATATAAAATAAATATTTTAATAAATTTGGTGCAAGCATTGCCAATACAAATAAAACTTATACAAATAGGCCATGCATTCGCGGAAAGCAATGTCTTCTTTCCTATAAAAAAAGAAGAGAAAATATAAGTTAAACGAAATACAAAAAACGCGATAAAAAAAAAAGGAACTAATTGAAGAAATTTTCTTCATTAATATCAATATAGGATAATTAAAAAAAAAAACATTAATTGGCAATTTTACTATATCCTAAGAATAGATACAAAAATATTTTTTAAAATTAATTTTAAAGAAAAAAAAAGAAGAATTATTAAAAAAAAAAAAAATATTTGAAAAAAACATGAAAATTTTTCATATTCTTTGGATATATAGCCAGAATTATTAAAAGTGCAACAAACAATCACATACAAAATGAAAAATAAACACAAAAAGTGCCCAATAAAAAGGTTACACATGAATTGTGTTTACCTTTCGATGTGATCCACATATATTTACCATCCCCTTCTTGCTTTCTTCTTTTTTTTCTTTCTTCCGCATGACTTCTGTATCGAGATCCAATGTCTTGCAAAATGCTAGGAAAATCCTGTTCATTATAAACAAACGGCGGACATTTTGGTCCTGATTTTAATCGAGCAGCTTCTTCTTCCTCTTTCTGTCGTTTTCTTGTTTCCAAAACTTCATAATGAATCTGGTGCAATATAAATCTATTCCAACTCTGAAATTCAATATTTATAGAATTCCAAATTTTTATGTAGAAGGAATTGTAAAAATTTATTAAAGTTCATTATATACAAGTACAATAATAAAATAAATATAATTATTAATATCAAAATATTTCAAACAAATTCGTTAATTAATATTTTATACAAAATAATAATAATACATATTAAATAAAATTTATTTCTTTTTAAAAAAAAAAAATTGTTTATTAATATAGATCATTTTTAAATGCATATACTGTATTCATACTACATACCTGTATTAATCGTACCAAATTTGTTTTCCTTTTCGCTTCCGGATGGAGATCACTGAGTATAAGTCCTAAAGCTGCCGCTTCAGGTACTGTTCTAAAAGCTCGAAGAAAATTAGCAGCTTGACATGGCAATCCTCGAGATGTATCCAACATGTGAAACAAGAATCCTAGCTCACAAGACAGGCAGAATTCTCTTTGGCACGAATGAGAAAGCAACGCTATTCTCACAGGTTCACAAAAGTAAAGTAACTGGAAAATACGTGATAAACATGACTATTCTGTTAAAATCTTATCTCTTTGAAAGAATAATAAGGTTCTCGGAGATTCATCGTGCTGATTGAACCGTACTTACCTGCAACATAGCGTTACAATAGCTGTTGGGAAGCGTGGCTTCAAGACCGCAGAAGCTGGTGCGATTATACTGATCAAAATCGAATTCATCGTAACCGAGACGTGAATATTTCACCTCGATTTTACGATAACGCTTAGGTATGGCCACAAAGGTGCCGTCATCTGTTTTAGATCGTGAGTCCCCCGCGAAAAGCTTTGTGACTACTCCCCGTCGTTTTTCCAAATTGTAAGGTATCTGCAAAAGAGGTATTATTTATTTTTCTTCAACCAATCGAACGTTTTTTGCTTCTTCTTTTTTTTTTTTTTTTTTTTTTTTTTTTTTTTTTTTT